ACTCCTTCCCCCGGGGGAGGGCCGGGTGGAGAATTTCGTTTCTGTTCCGCCGCTGGTTATCCTGTAATCAGCGGTACCCAAAGTTTGAGCAGTCCACTTCCTCTGAGTCGTTCACGGGCCCCAGTGTTCAGATGACAGTGAGGGCTGTGGCCTTGTCACTCTCGTCTCTCGCTGGGTGAGGGGAAACCAGGACTCGACGCCCCCGGGCCTCGTTCCTCGTTTCCCCTCACGGTCGAGACTGGCAGTATAATAAGACCAGTTTCCTCCGTCCGAGAGGGTCAGAATGGCAGTGCGTGCCGCCCCCGAGCTGCACCACTCCCGTTCCCCTCTCCCCAGCTTGCAGATAGCAGTGACGCAGCCCCGGCTGCGTCGCTCCGGTCTGCAGCTGGGCCCGGAGGCGCAGAGACCAGGACACGAGGAGTCAGGGCCTCGTTCTTCGTCTCTCCCCCTCCCTTCGCCACCGGGCAGCCCGCAGCAGAAAGCCTACGAGCTCTCTCTGCCGTCTGCCCCACGGTGGACCGCCCAGACCCCGCTTCCAGTGGCTACATTGCCACTGGAGCCGGGTCCCGGCCTTCCACCTCGCTGCCCCTCCGCGGGTACGCCGGTGGTTCGGGTGGGCTTATTGGCTTGGTACCTAGAAGCCTGGCTAGCGCTTCCGGGTCCGTCTCGAGGGCTCATCCGCACCATTCGGTTCGGCTATGCAATTCAGTTTGCACGCCGGCCTCCCAGGTTCAGGGGCATCCACTTCACCCGTGTGCGGTCAGTGGATGCCCCTGTCCTGCGGAAAGAGATCGATGTCCTGCTGGCGAAGGACGCGATCGAGCCGGTCCCTCCTGCCGAGATGAGGTCCGGGTTTTACAGCCCCTACTTCATTGTACCCAAGAAAGGTGGTGGGTTACGGCCAATCCTGGATCTGCGAGTTTTGATTCGGGCCCTGCACAAACTCCCGTTCAAAATGTTCTCGCAGAAGCGCATTTTCGAGTGCATCCGTCCCCAGGATTGGTCTGCAGCGATCGACCTGAAGGACGCGTACTTTCACGTCTCGATTTTTCCTCGTCACAGACCGTTTCTACGGTTTGCTTTCGAGGGTCGAGCGTGTCAGTACAAGGTCTTACTCTTCGGGCTGGCCCTGTCGCCCCGCGTCTTCACGAAAGTCGCGGAGGCGGCCATTGTTCCCATGAGAGAACAAGGCGTTCGCATTCTCAACTATCTCGACGACTGGCTCATTCTGGCTCACTCACGAGATGTGTTGTGCGATCACAGGGACGTGGTGCTTCGGCACCTCAGCCGGTTGGGGCTTCAGGTCAACTGGGACAAGAGCAAACTCTGCCCCGTGCAGAGGATCTCTTATCTCGGTATGGAGTTGGACTTGGTCGCCAGACTGCGCGCCTCACGGAGGAGCGCGTCCAGTCAGTGCTCACCTGCCTCAGGTCTTTCGAGGCAGGACAGCGGTTCCACTGAAACAATTTCAGAGGCTCCTGGGGCATATGGCAGCCGCAGTAATGATGCTCGGCCTGTTACATATGAGACCGCTCCAGCACTGGCTTCACGATCGAGTCCCGAGGTGGGCGTGGCAGAGCGGCACGTTCCGGGTCAAAGTAACCCCGCACTGTCGCCAAACCTTCTCCCCGTGGTCGGATCCTGCGTTTCTACGGGCTGGAGTAGGCCCCTAGTCCAGGTTTCCAGGCATGCTGTGGTTTTCACAGATGCCTCTACCATGGGGTGGGGGGCCACGTACAAAGGGCATGCAGTCTCGGGTCTGTGGACGGGGCCCCAGCTGCATTGGCATATCAACTGCCTAGAGTTGCAAGCAGTACGCTTGGCTTTGTGCCGCCTCAAGGGGCTTCTCAAAGACGAGCACGTACTGGTCCGTACGGACAGCACTGCGACCGTTGCGTACATCAACCGACAAGGTGGTCTACGCTCCCGCCGCATGTCGCGACTCGCCTCCCACCTCCTCCTATGGAGTCAGAAGCATCTGAGGTCGCTTCGCGCCACTCATGTTCCAGGGGAGCTCAACCGTGTGGCAGACGAGCTTTCACGGTTGCCTCCCCTGCCAGGAGAATGGCGACTCCATCCCCAGGCGGTTCAGCTGATCTGGAGTGTTTTCGGAGTCGCACAGGTAGACCTGTTTGCCTCTCCGGACATGACCCATTGCCAGTGGTTTTACTCCCTGTCCGAGGGGACCCTCGGCACGGACGCCCTGGCTCACAGCTGGCCCCGGGACCTGCGCAAGTATGCGTTTCCCCCAGTGAGCCTTCTTGCACAGACTCTGTGCAAGGTCAGGGAGGACGAGGAGCAGGTCCTGTTAGTGGCGCCGTATTGGCCCACCAGGACTTGGTTCACGGAACTCATGCTCCTCACGACAGCCCCTCCTTGGCCGATTCCTCTGAGGAAGGACCTCCTTTCTCAGAGACGGGGCACTCTATGGCACCCGCGTCCAGACCTCTGGAAACTCCATGTCTGGTCCCTGGACGGGACGCGGAGGTTCTAGGTGATCTACCACAGGCAGTGGTAAACACCATCACTTCTGCTAGAGCCCCCTCGACGAGGCGCCTCTATGCGTTGAAGTGGAACCTATTCGTCGAATGGTGTTCCTCCCACCAGGAGGACCCCCGAACTTGCCCGATCAGAGTCGTGCTTTCCTTCCTACAAGATGGGTTGGAGCGAAGGCTGTCTCCCTCCACCCTCAAAGTGTATGTTGCCACAGTAGCCGCACATCACGATGTAGTAGAAGGTAAGTCCGTGGGGAAGCACGACCTGATCATCAGATTCCTCAAGGGTGCTAGGAGGATAAATCCACCTCGTGTTTTGCACTCTGTACCCTCTTGGGACCTAGCTCTGGTACTGAGAGCTCTTCAAAGTCCTCCCTTTGAGCCCTTGCTGACAGTCGAGCTGAATATCCTGTCCATTAAGACAGCGCTCCTGTTGGCGTTGGCCTCTTTTAAGAGGGTCGGGGATCTGCAAGCTTTTTCGGTCGACGAATCGTGCCTAGAGTTCGGGCCGGGCCTTTCTCGCGTGATATTGAGACCCCGGCCCGGATATGTGCCCAAGGTTCCTACCACTCCCTTCGTGGATCAGGTAGTGAACCTGCAAGCGCTGCCCCAGGAGGAGGCAGACCCAGCCCTAGCTTTTCTCTGTCCAGTCCGCGCCCTGCGGGTTTACACTGACAGAACGCAAAGCTTCAGGACCTCAGATCAGCTCTTTGTCTGTTACGGAGGCCAGCAGAAGGGGAAGGCCGTCTCCAAGCAGAGGTTAGCTCACTGGTTAGTGGATGCTATCACCCTAGCGTATGAAGCTACGGGTGAGCCTTGTCCTCCCAGGTTGCGTGCTCACTCTACGAGAGGTGTTGCCGCCTCCTGGGCGTTGGCTCAAGGCGCCTCGCTGACAGACATTTGTAGAGCTGCGGGCTGGGCGACACCGAACACGTTCGCGAGATTCTATAGCCTACGTGTGGAACCTGTTTCCTCCCGAGTACTCGCTACGGCCAGTGGTGCGAGGGAATAGGTTGTGTCGGCTTGCTACGCCACTCCGTGCCTCAGCCGGATACGTGCGTCTTTCGCTCCGTTGGCGCCCTACGTTGGTTAGCCTCGTGAGTTCCTCCATCACCCCTTCGGTGCCAGGCGTGGCGGACCGCCGGCGCCAGGTCTACTACCTCTAAGGGAGTTGTTGTGTAGACTGGGTGTTATGTCCAGTGGTCTCTTCGGTGACCCATTATGCCACGTGCAGTCCAGCCGTGTCTTCCCCTTGACAGACTCGTTCTGTCGTCCCTGTTGAGTACGCTCCCACTCCCCTTGGAGGGGACTACCTCAGGGACTGCCATATGTTTCACTATCCCCCTGGGCTAGTACATATGTGTATTCCAGGCCTTCTTCAGGCTTCTGGCCTCCGCAGCGTTCCCTTCCCCTTCTTCGGGTTGGGCACGCTTTCCCAGTGTTATCCAATCCACTGTGTGGGTCTTGCGGAACAGCAGTGTGATTCCCTTGCTAGCTCCCGTAAATTGTGAAACTGCTTGGGTAGCTTAGCTGGGCGCTGGAAGGGGCCAGCACCATGGCGTTTTGTTAGGGATCCCAATTCGTCAGGGAACTCCCCGACGACACGTTGGAGTTCCCAGGACGAAAGGGAACGTCTCGGTTACGTATGTAACCCTCGTTCCCTGAGTACAGGGAACGGAGACGTGTCGTCCCTTCGCCATAGTGCTGTACCTTCGCGCAGGACTGGACACTGTTCGGCTCCTCAGCGAAAAGCATTGTGCAATGTTTACTTCCGCCTTTTATACCCGCGTTGGTAGGCGGGTCGCGGAATGCAAATTTTGCATGCCAATTCCATTGGCTCGTTTTAATTCTCTCGAAGGCAATTGGCTCCCTAGCGTGATCCCAATTCGTCAGGGAACTCCCCGACGACACGTCTCCGTTCCCTGTACTCAGGGAACGAGGGTTACATACGTAACCGAGACGTTCTCTCTAGAAGAGGGAACGAGTATTGCGTAACGTGCTCGCGCCACGAGCGACTTTCGCTTCAGTCGATGAAAACCAGAGAAACAGCCTCCGAGCCCTGCTTATATACGCTAAGCCACGCCCATTCTGGCGGGCTGTGACGCTGTGAAGGAGCGAGCGCCCTTCATTGGACGTGACGTCACGTCGGGCTCAGTGGCAGGCTGCTGCAGTTCCCGCAGGGCAGCCTATGAGCACGCTAGACAGCCTGCTCTAGGTCTGCTAGCTGCTGCCCTGCGTTGACAATAAATACAAAATTAAGGATAGTTTTTTGGCTTCAATATCTCGAAAAGATGAATCTTTCCCGTAGTGTAAGCTAACTTACGCAATACTCATTCCTCGGAGAGAACCGAGGTTATGTTAGGTAACCGATACGTTTTTCAGCGTCAGAGCTCCTCGGTTCACAGTAAATGCTGCTGCTCACAAATTCCATCTCTGTATGAGCATTGAGTTTAAAGCATTGCTTTTGCATTTCTGCAAACCAGTGTGCACTAGGTTCAATATCCAACATTTCTGTGGAGAGCTATACTTTACAAGTTTACAGCATTTCACCAGTATTCAGCCAAAATAAATGCTTATACAATATGTCATCAATAATGACTTGTTTAGGTTTAGGCAATTTGAGAATATTTATTATTATAATATAATATATATTTTCTCAGGATCTAGGATGACATTGGCTACTATATTTACTATGCAGAACCCCTTTCTCCTCAGCTTCCTTTACAAAAAAAAAAAAAGTCTCTGATGAGCTATGCGTGACCACTTCTACATGATGTTGAACAGAGACTAGTCATTGTCACAAAGAGCTGCGAAGATGCTGTACGTCGTGAGATACAGTTTTCTTTTGATCAGTATTTGTATAAGAGTGTCATGGGCAGCCGCAGTGGTGCAAGATATGAATATTTGTAAGTATATACATTTGTTGTATTTGTTAACATTAGTTAATGCACTGTGAAGTAACATGAACAAACATTGAACAGCTGTTTAACGTTAACAAATATTTAAAAAGTACAGTAACAAATATATTGCTCATGGTTAGTTTATGCTAGTTAATACATTAACTGATGTTAACAAATTAAACCTTATTGTATAGTGTTACCCATTTTGTTATCCAATTAAAAATGTTACTTTGGATCATATTGCTCTGGCAGACCGTGCAGTAGAATACATTGTGTAGAAACGTTAAGAAAATACCAAGCACACACAAGATAGCTTTGCAAATTCATTAGTGTATTTAAATGTTTGCAGAAAAAAAAAAGTCTTAATAGTTGCTTTTCTTCAAACAGTAATCAAATCTTCTGGGCATGATGTCAACATCGAGTGTGCTACTGATAAACGACCTCAAGATGGAGTGTACATGTACAAACAAGAAGGAGCAAGTAAACCGCAGGAGCTCTTCTACTTTTACAAAGTAGACATTCTGGCCTTAAAAAAGGCAAACAAATCCAAAGTCAGTGTCATTGGAGCACTTCCCAACCTTACTATCACCCTCTTAAATGTAACTGCCGAAGACATTGGGCTTTACTGGTGTGAATTTAATTTGGAAGAAAAAAATACTGTTGGCAAGTTCACTTGGTTATGGATAGGTAAGTGTATCTTACATTTCATGTAAATAATAATTGTATTCTAAGACATGATGATTTTATTATATGAATGTACCACATGTATTAAATGGAAAAATGCGTAGAGTATAAAAGGTATAATTCTATAATTCTCTGACCCTGATTTTTTTTTCATTGAAAGAAAAGAAAAAAGAAAAAGAAAAAGAAAAAGAAAAAGAAAAAGAAAAGGAAAAAGAAAAAGAAAAGGAAAAAGAAAAAGAAAAAGAAAAGGAAAAAGACTGCCCAGAAGATGTTTTTCCTTGTGTGAATATCTTCCTCATTTTGTTTGCTGTCATCCTACTGTGCATCATTGGTATCTGCTGTTTGATTCTTAAGGTAAGCATACAATTACGACATAAATTGTTCAAAAGCAAAAACAAAAGTTATGGACAACATTATGCGTATATCTGAAGTGCGTTACTGAGGTATGCTGTCGTGTGACAAATGACTGTCTTTTCATTGATGCTTTTTGTGGTTTGATGTTGAAAACAGGCCCGGTTCTAGAACCAAATCACTGAGGGTGCTTCTGAAAATAGTGAGGGTGCTCAAAATAGGGCCGAGCGATACCTATTGTCTACGACAATATTGTAATTGCTGTTATGTTAAAGGGATTGTTCACCCAAAAATGAAAATTCTGTCATAATTTACTCACCCTCAAGTTGTTTCAAACCTGTATGAATTTATTTTTTCTGTTGAACACAAAAGATTATATTTTGAAGAATGTCTGTAACCAAACAGTTGATGGGCCCCATTGATTTCCATAGTATTTTCTTTTTCCTACTATGGGAGTCAATGGGTGCTTGGGCCTGTCTGGTTACCCATATTCCTCAAAATATCTTATTTTGTGTTCAGCAGAAGAAAGAAATTCATACAGGTTTGGAACAACATGAGAGTGAGTAAATTATGACAGAAGTTTCATTTTTGGGTGAACTATCCCTTTAAACGATATGCGATCTACATGATCGAGTAGCCTATGTCCCTGTACGAGTTTTTGTGCTTTACATTTATATAGTTAAGAAATGTTACACACAGAGTGCTTTTCCCCAAATATCAGCAGTAGCCTATTGCAAATGTGTGAAGTATTGAAACTGATTTTATTCTGCAGTTGAAAAGAAGTTAATATAAGTAACTTACATTATTGACATTTAGTTTCTGACGAAAACGAATCAGTCCTTTTAAACGAAACAGCTGATTTAAAGATTAAATTACTCACTCGTTAACTTAACCTTCTCCAGAGCGTCGGCGCACTGAAGCGTTTTTTTTTTTTATTTAGTTCAAATATACTATCAGATTTAATGTTATACCTTGACAAACTATACATCATTAAAAAGATATAAGACTCAAGATTCAGTATTTGACCACTATTGTATTCTGAGAAACTTATAGTGACAGTTATGTCTTAATTTGTGTCAGGAGTTATGAAATGAAAAAAACGAGTCGATACCTTTAATATGAATTATGAGCGTCAGCTGGTCCATTCATAAAAAACACTCCGTGCTGTCGTCATGATAGCGATTCACAAAACAACGTCCCTGAGGGCTTTTAGCTCAACAATGTGCAGATGTGGAGAAATATTGATATATTCTCATAGATTCACATCATATTTCTATAGACAGGAATAATATTTATTGAATTTATACCCAAATGCGTCGATGTAATCATAATGATCGCTTCTTACTGAGATGTGCTGTGTTTTCCATTCATACCAATAGCATGGGGGCGCTATTATGTCCAATAAAAGTCCATATATGGATCATGAAGAAGACCCATAGTCATGTGACATTCCAGGACGTCACTGAGTGATACAGAAAGTACAGAGATCGCTGTAACATGCAGATAAGGATGTTTTGAAGACAATAAACATGATTGCAATGATATTTGAGTTACCTGTGTTCTTCAAGCCATGCCAGGTATTTCATAATAATAGATTATATTTATAATGTAATGCTAATCGATATAGATTTCATCATCGTTCAGAACACTAAATAATACATTTTCTGTCTGATTTTTTTTTTATCTGAAGCCAAGTTAGATCACAGAAGATTATTTAAAACACTAGACTTGCGTTATATAGTGAGTTTGGAGCGCAAACATAGTTTTAATCTCATAAATGGTCGTGTATTTATGGTGTGCTAAGCTAACATGCTAGCGAGCCCAGGCGCACCTGCCACGAGCAGTTATTGTTTTATGATTTTTTTATAAATAGGAATGCTTACTGAAATGTTTCAGTGCATTTGATACCAGTTTCAAATATTTAGTGAGAACTTTGATAAAAGAAATTAGGGTTTGAAACCCTATGAATAGCTTGTGAATAGCCAGTCGTTAGTAGCTATAATGCAGACAAAAGAAATGCATATTTAGAGCCATAATAACCAGTCTGGAGAGGTGTAAATGTGTGCAGGGGAGACTGAGACTGAATGGGGCACCACAAAACAATAGAGACAATAGACTGAATAGATGACTCAGAAGATGACTAGACATCAGTTTGCTAATAGAGTCTAATCAAAATAAAGTAATTTGACATGATCTTGATAAACATTTAACTAAATACAGAGCTTTATACTTATCATTTTCAGATTTTAAATATAAAATGGTCAGACATGTGGCTTTAGCTGCAGTGCATTTCTAGATTGCTCCAGGGCCAACTTCAATTTTATTTTCATGAAGATGTTTCATAAAAATAAATTTCTAATAACTTTACAAAACTTTGAAGCTATTTAAAATTGTTTTTTTCATTATGACAATAATTAATTCTACATTTACAATAAACAACCAAGTGTCAGCTTTCAAATGAGATCATACTTGTGCTTTTAGTGCAAAGGGTTCATGAACTGTATCTGTTTTAGTTTGGGTATGTCATTTCTGGGGATTTTTCAAAAGTGGGCTTGAAGCTTAACAGGTTAAGACAGTCAAATGCTAGGTCACTCGGCGGCGTCGGCGCGCCATCGGCCGCGGCACTTGCTAGGATTTATCGCCGGTGTTTGAATGGGTGTCATGCGGTGAGAGTGAGGTTGTAGGGCGGGATTCGCTGCTGTCATCGGCAGGCGTTGCCATTTCGTCTTGTTGTGATGTAGAGGTTTGAGCTTTCTTGAGCCAATTTCATATGTCCATGATTAAAAATGGACGATTAATATTTTTAGGCTACCTAAAGGCAGCCCCGTCTCAGAAAGTCAGCTAACGAATTTCCTGAGAGACGCACACACGCAAGCAAAGTGGGCAATTAAAGAGATATGCGAATCACGATCGCGAAAGGACACAACCAATCCAATGCATTAAACATGAAAGCATAATGAAATAATTTCTGATTTGAAAATGTATCAAATTTATCTTATTGAAATTTATTTTGTGTATTACATGTATGAGTGTGAAATCCTGTGTTTCTTTTGTCGGTAAAATCTCGTTTACATGTGTGCTAATAAAAATTTAATCTGAGGGTGCTTTCACTTTTGTTTGAGGAACCGGGCCTGGTTGAAAATCTTCTAATGTGTAATTCTTGTGCGATTTTTAAGCTCTGGGATGATTTTTATACACTATGCACCATTGGTTCTCAACTCCGGGTCTGGGGACCCACCACTCTTCACATGTTGTATGTCTTCTTTATTTAACACACATGATTCAGATCATCAGCTCATTAGGAAAGAATGTGAACTGACATGAGTGCATCAGATAAAGGAGACATTATAAATGTGCACAGCAGTGGATCAACAGGAACGGAGTTGAGAACCGGAGTGAAAAAAAAATAGTTGAACCATTAATTATGGAAATGATAGCCTATGATATCCTAAAGCTCTACCCTTTTGTTTAATTTTGGCTTGCCAAATGCTTAAGTGAAATATGAATACATTTCAGAAGCTGAGTCTTCCTGAGAGTATATCAGGGTTACAGACTCATTACCTTTACATTGATTGAGAAATACTCTTTTGTTTTCTATTCATTTTTTTGCAAGCAAAAATTAAATTAAAGATTTTTAACTTTTATATCAGAAGAGCCACCTTGAAATGAAGAGTTCAGATGCAAAAGCCTCTAAATGCCATCTGACATTTTCTTCCAAAATGATCATTTTTATCAAGCTCGTATATTTAAATTAAGTAATTTCACTTAAATGACAATTAATGGGTAATTTTTCTTGCCATTTAAGTGAAATTATTGAACTTAAATATACGAGCTTCACAAAAATGATCATTTTAGAAGAAAATTTCAGATGGCATTTAGAGGCTTTTGCATCTGAACTCTTCAAATATACTTTTTCACAATAAATCAATTCACAACACTGCATCCTGATAAAGTTCCATTGGCCTTTGGAATTAAAATAGCCCCACATCATCACATTCCCTTCACCATACCTAGAGATTGCCATGGGGTACTTTCCATGAGATCATCTCTCTATGCAAATCTCTAGGTATGGTGAAGGGTATGTGATGATGTGGGGTTATTTTAATTCTAAAGGCCAAGAGAACTTTATCAGGATGCATAGTATCCTGGATCCAATACTGGCCATAACTGGCCTTTAAAAATAAAAATCTGCCTGCCTCTCTGGGAATTTAACATAGGGGTGTCCTGACTTATGCCCCTTGAATTTTAAGGAAGAACATTTATTTATTTACGATACATTATTCACAAAGAAAATTTGTCTCCTGAAAGGTTGGATTTTCCCTCATTTTTATAATTAAGGCATTAAGATCAATTTCTAAAAGATGCTTTTTTTATTCCTCTTTTTAGTCAACTTTAGCATGGGTGTATTCACTTATGCTAAGCACTGTACATGTCAGCTTATTCTAAACCTAACCCTACCAGTCTACTAGTACTCAATTAATACTCTAATGAGAGTTAGTAAACATATAGGTGCAACAGCATATAGTCAACAGAATGTGTTAAAGGAACAATCAAAATAAAGTGAAACCCCATTTGTCCTTTGTGTCAGAGCGCTGGAGTAGGCTACATCCAAAATAGAATGGGGCATCAGTTTACTATCGGGGACTTGTTGTGATGCACCGCATTTAGTAGATAGCATCACTGAAGCCTTACTGGTTATAATGGTTTCCATTTGCTTTTGTCGCATCACGCCGCTAGCATCTGGTGTAGGCACGTTGTTTTTATATTTGTGAATTTTACGTAGATTCATTGTGCTTTATATTTACCTGGCACTGGCAAATTTCACAAACTTGTCCATGCTTAATGCAGAACCATGCAGCTTTCCATGGCTACCTGATTTATTGTCCATTTTGTGTTCAATTATTTACTTATTTGTCAAGTAGCCACTTTTGATTTGAGCTCGGCGATTTGAGCTCTGCGACTTCTCCAACATGGGGGGGGTGGAGACGGACTTTTGACTTGAGCTCGGTGACTTCTAAGGGCCCCTGCCCTGCAACTTCTAAGCCCCCCCCCCCCCCCCCCCCCCCCGCACCCGCCTCGGGCCCTGGGTACTCGGTACCCTTTATCCCCCCAGTACCACGCCCCTGAGTGCGACATAAAGGGCCCCAAGCAAATTTGGGGGCCCCAAGCAAAATGGACATGGAGGCCATTAACTAAAGATATAATAACTATCAATTTACCATCTATTAATGATGGTTATTATAAAGTCTTACCGAAAAATTAAAGATATGTTAGCTTTTCCATATTTTGATATTAGAAGGGAAGGGATGCAGCTGCTTTCACTACCAATGCTTAAAAACATCCCAAGCTAATGTTTGATGCACGGAATTGAACCTAACCCCCATTGGTAAATAGATGATACTATGTCATTAAATATGATAAACAGTGATTCTGGAACAGATCTACGTCTTCCTTATCCCCTTAAAAAACATATTACAGTATGTAACCATATTCCGTCCGTTCGAAAAAAAGTTGCACTAACTGTTCGTTACAAGCAGCATTTGCCGTCAGACAGGTAGCAAACAAACATATTTTTGCTAGCCTATCTGCTGCAAAATTACACCATTTGTACAAGACAAGTAGAGCTATTTTATCCAGTGTAATTTATCACTTTACCAATATCTTGTTTTTTCTTATCCTCCTCTTCCTTTCTCTTCTTTCTTTTCTGGCTTCCTGAAGCATAATTCCGCTTCATGATGACTGGCGAGGAGGTTTGTATTTTGCCGGCAGGAGAGATCACGTGGTTGGCTGGCTGCTGTAAGCGACTACTGAGAGGGGCCCGCTTGAGGGGGATGCCGATAACAGTGTCATTGCACTTTACTGCATTGACTATCAAAGGGGCGCTCACACAGTTTGTCGTTGCATTTTATTCTTAACCAGTCGTTGTCTTGGGGCCCCAGGCCAGACGGGCCTGTATCTACAAAAAGATTGGTCTGTGCGATGATTAAATGTACCACAGTAGCACGCATGCGATACAGTTTTGTAAACTGCGTTACTTGTGTTTGTATTCAGACATGATAGCAGTCGTTTTATACTTGTGCTTATGCGAAATCACGATTTTTGATCGTGGATGATTTAATGTCTCCACGATCTGCTTTTGAAGAAATATGGTAGTATCGTGCTACAGCACACATTCTATCAGCTGCAGTTTTGGTGCCTCAAGCTTGGTTTAAACTCGCTGCGTCCGCACAAGGCCGAAGGTGCGCAAGGGCTCATTTCACTTGTCGGTGTGCACGGCAGATTTTGTAACTGCGCGCGTGGCTCCGCATCCGAAGATGCATGACTTCGAGACGAATCTGGCCAAGCATATACGTCTTATCACCCAGCTTGTGCATCTGGTAGTTGCTTAAATTTACAAAATGAGCCTACAATAGCAGACATAAGCCCTTAAAGTATGGTCCATTTTTTATAAAAAATGTTCTCAAAACTAAATGAAAATGTTGGTGAAATTAGAAAATATGTACGTTATCGTTAATTTAGTTGTATGGCTATGTTCTCAAATTCATTTATTTTGTTCTACTGTAAGAAGTAATAATCTCAAGGTTTACTGCTTTACGCGATTCTTTTTCGAGCCGGGCGAAAGTATAAACAAGGCTTAATTCCCAATACTGCAAAACTCGACGTACATTCATATCACATGTTAATGCAGCGGTAGAGTTACACTCACAGGACACTGCACTTATTCGCAATCACAAAAGTTCATTATTTACTCGTACTTTAAAGCTTTGCCGGGTAAACATTTCATTGGCGTTCTGTTCTGGCATTATGCACACCCAAGCACGCGCACTGTCAAACAGCGCCAAACTGGACTTTATCTTCCGCGTCTGTTTTTTTTGTTTTTTTTGGGTCAGACCCATCTGCTAGCGATGGGGGGCCTAGACTGAGAGAGCTACATGTAAAAATATGCACCAAACAAGCCACTTTGAAATGTTGCTGTTTTCATGAATACAAAAGTTGGTTGGGTGACCCTCCCCCTAGACTAAAAAAGGTTGGATGACCCTCCCCTCAACAAAGAATAAAAAGACATGACCCTCACCTATTTTCCTCCGGTGGTCCATTCCATAAATACAGAACGGTCCCTGGGGATTGAAACAGCGTGGATAGCCAGTTGTTAGTAATTATAATGAAGACAAAAGAAAAACATAACCAGGCCGGAGAGGTGTGAATGTGCAGGGGAGACTGACACTGAATGGGGCTCGTTTGCACCACAAAACAACAGAGACAATAGACTGAATGGATCCTTAGAAGATGACAATAAACATCAGTTTGCATTTTAGAGTCTAATCAAAATAAAGTCATATTACATGATTTTTAAAAATGCAAAGAGTTTTAGTTTGTATCTGTTTTAGTTTGGGTATGCCATTTCTGGGGATTTTTCAAAAGTGGCCAACAGGTTAGCTAGGCCTTTTTCTTCTTATCTTCATTTGAGAAACGGAAGTCATAGAGCTCAATAAAATCAGCAACAGTTTTCTCATGTTGTTATTGGATCACAGAAAAAGCTAAATGCTCTGTGTGATTGGTTAATTACACATTATCTTTTGTGGTATTTACCACCAGCAGTCATGCAAGTGATAAGATTCTTGTAAACAAGCTTGGCAAGTGTCCTGTTGTTCTGCGTCTCTCTGCATTCCATGTAAAATGTCCTTTTGCTCTTCTTATAAATCAATGGTTCTCAGCCCTGGACCTGGAGCCCCTTCAGCACTGCACATTTTGAATGTTTCCCTAATCAAACATACCTGATTCAGGTCATCAGATAATTATTAGGCACTCCAAGACCTAAAATGGGTGTGTCAGACAAAGGCTTCAGCAACAGGGTTGAGAACTACTGTTTCGAATGATCATGTTTTAAAAACTGGCAAAATATTTGGAGAATATAGGTCAAGAACATAGACATTTCATAATTTATTTCACATTTTGACTATTGGACATTTTAAATCTTTTTTCTTTTTTTTAGATGAAGGGCTGTTGGGGGAACAAGAAATACACACCAACACATCCACCCTCAGAGTCAGTTTATGAAGAGATGAAACGGAGCAATTTAAACGCCCAGCCCTGTTCACGGACATTCATCAACCCGGACTATCAATCTTCCAAGCAACTTCAATAAATACTTATGATTGATAAGGCTTTATGTTGTTTTACTGTCTATTTGCATTGGCAAAGCTTTCAAATGAAATATGTCTTAATATTTGAATTCTTATGTACCTTGTGTATAATCATTGTTTCTGCAGCCTTCTTTCAGTTTAGAAAGTGAGCCATCATTCTTTTCATTTAGTGTGAATATCAAGTGATTAAATTTAAAATGCTGTAGATCAGGGAGAATTAAAAATAGTTCAAGTGTTAAGAATTTTAAAAAAAGATGCAGCAGTTGAAGAGAGAAATATCAAAGACATCACTTGTGGTTAAGTTTGCAAATGCATGTGCAAAGGAACCTAAAGAATTTTGTGAAGTGCCTGTTAGTTTCAGTATAATAATATAGGCCAGTGGTGAAATGACTGATGGCATTAAAGTAACAAATCACATTTCACTCATATTTCGTTCATAATAATGCTAATCAGAAAAGCCATTTTATCTCATGGCAAACTTGAAGCTAAACACTGCACTGCACCTGTTTGCGTTTGTATTTTACTGATGTTCTGATGTTCATTTTTCTACTTGGGTTTCGACCTCATTAACCTTCTTTGCAGTTGTGGTCATGTTTTCTTCCTCTCTATAACCTTTCAAAATGCATCAAATGCATGTTTCTTGTGTTCACTAACAGTGTTAGTAGAGTTTTAAATATGCTTTTATTGTAAAAGTGCTAAAGTATGTAAGTGTGTTGTTTTACTCATCATCCAGCATGGTTGCATTTGAATGTATTGTATTTTATTTAGTATCTCTTGTCTCTGAATATGTTGTAACCCTTAACATTGTAAAAAAAAACAACAACAAAAAAAAAAAAAAAAACAACAACAATACAACACAAACTAATAAACAATTGTCAAAATTCTTTCAAATCAATTCAGTTGGATTTATTATACCTTAAATGTTTTAGAGTACATCACCAACTAGACCAATTCGATTTTTTTTTAAATGACATTAGACCACTAATACGGAACAAAATGCTGCTCTGCACAAAGATATATTTTCAACTCTCTTCCTCTCCCTTTGACTTTCTGTCATACATGCACATATTTATGCCTTTTAGGTAAATGCTAAATGTTTTAGTAAATATTGTCATATCTGTAGAGTGAAAATACTTAAGATTATCACCCTGTTGTATATTAGCTACATGCAAAGCCAACTGAAGGTATTACTTCCGTTAAGAGACCTCTTAACATATAAAACACATTTTCAATCACTATAAATTAATTCCTAGCATTTTAAATTACATGAATGAATTCAAATCAGCTACGATTGATTCAATTTAATATATTTTATTAATTGTATGCAATAAATGCGCAGGAGAATATCACGCCAATTTAAAACAAGCTTAGATATCAGATTTTCATAAAAGTACAATAACATGGAAAAACAACGGAATGTAAAAGGCAACACAACATTATTTAATTGTAAAAGTTCAAAAGTATGGCATTTGTAAATAACTGAAATACTTTAATAAGGATATATACAATGTACACCAGCAGTATTCAATAGGTCGATTCTCTGTTTGCCCACACTGATGATGCTTGACCAATCAGTAATATATAGCTCCTCATGGGTCTGTGGTCAGAAGCATCATCCTGTTTATCTTCTGCTTTGTTGCTGGTTTTCACAGTAAATGACACATTTGACCACAACAGGTCTCTTGTGCATGAAAAACAAGTTACATTCCTGTCAAGATGAACTGAATTATTTTGAATGCATTTGGACCTGGTATAAATAAAAAGGTGACTAAACCGCTGAGCAGTTTAATGTGCATTAATATAGACAGCCAAATTTTCTCTTGATTGCTTCTGTTTCAATACATTTTTGTAGGAATTTGGATTATTTTGTTTTGAGATTGTCACCAATACACATCTAGTTCATGCACATACACAAACATTTGTGTATGGTATAGGAACTTGCATTGACTTGTTATTTTTTTCCAATACCTTACCCTTACTCCTAAACCTTCTTACACAAACACTTCAGATTTTTATTATACTATAATTTAGCAAGATTATGTAGCCATTTTATTTGTGGACCATCACTTGGTCCTGCAACTGATGGAGAGTTTTTGCTACATTTTGGACATTTGGTTCCCCACAATGTTGTAAAATCTTGACACACATAGACAAAAGCATCCGTTACATACGTATGTGTAACTTTCACACAATTGTGGAAAAAGTACTCAAGTTCCATATAGGTAAAACTTTTAAAAAGTACTTAAGTATCAAAAAGAAATGTATTCATCTTATAAAAAGTTCTACCAGAAAGACTGTGGAGATAAAATTATGTAACTAAAGCATGTATTTACCAACAGCCCAGCAAGCAAATATTTATAAAGTTATTTGGCGTAGGTCCCGTCCGTAAAGCGCGCAATCCGAGGGTAGTGCAATCTGCATTTCCTGCCTGAAGACGAAGGCAGGGGCGCAGTTGACCCCCCGGGAGGTATGGGAAGGGACCATCCTGATGGTGGTGGGGAGGATGGAGGGAAAGGGACCATCCTGGTGGTGGTGGTGAGGATGGTGGTGATTGTTTACATCAGCATCTGCGAACTCAGACATGTGTAAGTACCGATCTTTTATACTGCAAGTATTGGAACATGATTGGTTAGATGTGAAGGTAATAAGTGACGTAACGATTGAGTCTTCGGTAACGCTGTAGATTGAGTAATTAAGACGAACTTTCGGTAATTATAGTGTACAAGTATAAGGGAACAATATATAAAGTTTGGGGAATAAAGGGGTAACAACCAGTAAAAAAAATAAAAAAAATGATACTGTAAGTATTATAGAAGTATTATACTATGGGGTACTTATTATACTATTATGATATAACAATCTTACATTTGGGTGCAATTTAGCGAGAACATACCTTAACGTACCTTTTTGTAATAATGGTGTACCAATACATACTGTAGCCTATAGGCTTTTTAAAAATTACAGGGTACATATCTATGCATTTATACATTTTTTTATAGCAAAAGTGCAGATGTTTAAGTTTGGGCTATGGAAGTAAAATAATGTCAAATGTTTTTGAAATAAAAAGCCTGTTGAATTGCACTACTTGAAAAAAAAAATAGGCATTGCATTAACCATGCTTACATTTTAATGCATTGTATTTTTAGGGCTTGCATTTTTATGGGCTGAAATTCAACATTGTTGACTATTTAAGCTGTGAATATTTCAATTAAAACATTTCAAACACATTTTCATTATTAAAAATTCAATAATCCATATTCACCATTCATATTTCACTTCCAAAATATTCTAACTGTTTAAAAATGCAACCTATAATATTCAACAGGCAATTTTAGGTCCATTTTATTTCGCTTTGCAAATTCGCTTCCACAAATTCAGTGGTTCAAATTCGACAGTAAATTCAACATTGACGTCCAGGAACTGCTAACCTGGCCCTAGCCAGATGAATTTCGCTCCGCCTAGCTTCACTCACATCCATCTGGAACCTCTTCCATTGAGAGTGATTTCTCCAACCAACTTTATGGTTTAGCCAATCAGGACGCAGGGCGGGAGTTTCATAGATGTGACGTAGTGGAGAAGCGACCGTGAGACTGTTTTGATTCAGACAACAATGGCGGCTCGCATCGAGGAAACAAGCGTTAAAGGGTTAGAACACCCGAAAATGAAAATTAAGTCATTAATTACTCACCCCCATGTCGTTCAAAACACGCAACACTTTCGTTCATCTTCGGAACACAAATGAAGATCTTTTTGATGAAATCTGAGAGCTGGATCACTGCTATATAGGCTGCCTAAGGGACTGACACTTGACGGCCCAGAAAGTCATTAAAGAAAATGTTTAAATGTTTCATGTGCCTACAGTGGCTCCACTATAAGTTTATCAAGCGACGAGAATACTTTTTGTGCGGAAAAAAAACTAAAATAACGACTTTATTCGACTACTCCATTGCTTCCTTGTGGGCCTGAGACGAGAGTTCAAGAGATTTCCAGGACGCATGCGCGAGAACTGACACTCTTCTTCTACTACACAGCGCGCGTCTTACAAGCAGAGGAAGACGCGTGCTGTACATAGTAGTAGAAGAAGAGTGTCAGTTCTCGCGCATGCGTCCTGGAAATCTCTTGAACTCTCGTCTCAGGCCCACAAGGAAGCAATGGAGTAGTCGAATAAAGTCGTTATTTTAGTTTTTTTTCCGCACAAAAAGTATTCTCGTCGCTTGATAAACTTATATTGGAGCCACTGTAGGCACATGAAACATTTAAACATTTTCTTTAATGACTTTCTGGGCCGTCAAGTGTCAGTCCCTTAGGCAGCCTATGTAGCAGTGATCCAGCTCTCAGATTTAATCAAAAATATCTTTATTTGTGTTCCGAAGATGAACGAAGGTCTTACGGGGTTGGTACAGCATGGGGGTGAGTAATTAATGACTTAATTTTCATTTTTGGGTGAACTAACCCTTTAACATTGATGCTGTTAACATTGATTTCATCCGTGTTGTCCAATCTACCTAATATTGTTTCATTAAAAGAACATCAGAGAACGGCTCTTAAGGCTTTTGTTGGTGGAAACGATGTTATATAGATCAGTGCCTTCTCCCGACCGGATTCTTCAGCGTCACGGGTTGGCTTCGGTGTGAGTGGTTGAAATAGCACGTCGATAAAGATGACAGACAAGTGGCTTATCCAATCATATGCAAGGATTTTTGATAAGGCCCAGCCTTCTGAAACGCCATTTCAATGGATCGGTTCCAGATGGATGTGAGTGAAGCTAGGCGGAGCGAAATTCATCTGGCAAGGGCCAGGTTAATAGCCTCGTGAGACCATCCTGATCTCGCGAGCGTTCAAGGTTTCACTCGCAGATCAGTCTGGATACTTTCCGTTAAAGAAAATTTGGGAGCAGTTCACCAAACGAACGTCCAATCAGCGTTGGCTTTGAGGCGGGTTGAGGTGTGACGCAACGAGAAGCGCGTCAGTTCAGTCTAAAGAACATGTCGGCTTCAGCGGATGAAACTAGCATCAGCGTGGCTATCGAGCAAGTTTTATCGGAATTACAGAGTATTTCTTCACTGAAAGAAGAGCAAAACACTGCTCTGGAGGCTTTTCTCAGAGGAAAAGATACGCTCTGTTAGTACGTCATATGCTTCGTTGATCTGATTGGTTGATTTGGCCCGTCTATCACCAACATAGGCCAATCAGCTAACCAGTATTTTCGCCCCTTACCAAAACTACTTCAACGGAAGGTTTCCAGATGGATATGCGGAGCAAATCCATCTGGCGGAGTCAGGTTACCAGGTTAAGGAACTGCAGGAAAAGCAGAAGATTGCCGAGCATAATCTCCATCTGCTGTTAGTCGACCTCACCATCAGATGGTGCAAAAGCGCGTGTTGTTGACGAAGACCAGCGAAATTAGAGCAAGTCATTCATTCATAAAACTCATTTACAGCAATGTAAGTTTATTTGTGATTATTATGACGGCTGTTTTTGTTAAATTTGGTGCCTTCACGGTTACTTTTCCTGTGTAGCCTACATGCATATTTCTCTACCGTGAACGAGATCATAATGTTATTCCCCGATGCGGATATACAGTACAGATCCAATGTTACATTTTTGAGGTTGACATATATTTCTCTTGGTTGTTTAGTTGCCTTAACTTTATATTGTGGCGATGTGCTGCATGCAGGCTATAGGGTTTCCCTCAATACGCGGTTTGAGTCTGCGCGTCAGGAACGGAAGTGCTCAGAAATCGCTAAAAATGGGCTTCAACTGTCTCAACTGAGTTCCAATGAGATGGCTCTGTCCATTTCTTATACTGTCTATGGTGTTTCCCA